GGGGGGGGGAGTGGGGGGGGGGGGGGGGGCGGGGTAGAGATGCCAGCCCTGCTCGCGGGGTGGGGGGGAGGCAGGGCTGGGCTGGGGGGAGGCGGAGTTCCAGCATGGCAGGTTTCCAGTGACCGGTCACTGGCCCCCTGCAGGGGGAGGGGAGCTTGGGCAAGCGGCTGGGGGTGTCCTGTTCTCCCTTTGGAAAATATGGTCACCCTCGTTGCACGAGAGCTGAGTAAATGCAGGCTGAAATGAAGGCTCCCTGTTCTCCTGCCTCAGCTGGAGTCTGTTGTGACAGTAAACCACAGACCATGTCAATGGCATCACTGTCTTCTCCACTCCTTGAAAACCAGTAGCATTTTCAAAGCCCTTAATGTGTCCTTTGATCTCTCTGGGTCTGTGGCTTTTACCCATGGGCAGAAAGCAGGTTAAAAAAAACAGGAATACGTGTTCGTCTGTCCTTATTTTCACATTTTCAGATTGTCTTTGTGACCACTACTAGCAAGGACTCTTATCGTCCCGATGACATGTGCACTGGTTAATTTGGGGTTGGAGTGGGGAAGCTGTGCCGTTAGGCTAATGCAGCAGCCTTTCTTAACTGGGTACATAAATCAGCACAATTGGCAGACACTTAAATGAGACTCTGATTAACATAGCATGGGTATTTCAGATCAGAACTGAGCTATATAGTTGGGTGAGGAGTGGGGAATGAGTTGCCAATCTTTCATAAGCACAAAATTCACTTCGATTTCTTAAAACAGACTAAGTTTTTGTGTTGTCTAAAGTATTGTAACATCAGAGATGAGCAGGTTCTAAAGTAGCTCTGATTCCACCCATCTCATGGGGGAAATGGATTTATCAGCTTTCTTCGTATTACTGGCTATGACTGCATGTCACACTCTTTTCTTTCTGCATGCTCTATCCTTGCGATAGATCAATTATATGTAGAATCTGAGTTCAGGTTCACTGCATCTGTCATTATCCACCCTGCTGTCTACAACAAAATGAACTGGCAGAGTATGCCTGCACCTGTGACCCGGTGCTCTTGAGGTCATAGTAGGTGAAGCGGCAGAGTTTCAAACCTCTACAAATCAGTTGTCCCTTGCTTTTGACTAGAGGCCTGTATCGGGATATGTAAATTACCCTGGGTATATCTATTGTGTAAATATTGGCACTCAGATGGAACACTGGAACAACAGATTCCGGCTGATGGGAAGTGTGTTCTGTACAGGATGTTGCTCAGAGGTGTTTTGTAAATTACAATGCAAAAGAAGTATTTAACTGTGTTTGGGGAGGGGGAAGGAATGAAAGCAGTCAAGTGAATGAACACTTATGGTGGGGGTGTTCATTTCCTTCTCAACTCTCTGGCACTTGAGTATCAAGAGGCACACGCTAGGCAAGCCCAGATTGTAAGAGTAGACATGAGAATATTGGTGAATCGTTGGGGTACAAGACCAGGATGGCACGGCGACCCAGAGTGCTGTTCCCAGCTCTGCCACTGACCTGGTGTGGCTCGGTGCCTCTCCTGTCTAGACTGAAAGCTCTTTGGAGCAGGAATTCTTTCTGACCCTTTGTTTGTCTTACCAGCGCTTAGCCCAGTGGGCCCTCTCACCACTGCTGTAACACAACCAATGCAACTGTCAAGGACAAGATTGTGTTGAAGTATCACCTCTCTTTAAGGGTCTGTCTACACAACAGAAGCTTGCATGGGTTAGCCTGAGTGAGCTAGTTTGAATCCAGCTAGGTCAGATGACAATAGCAGGGAAGACCAAGCAGAGCGTGCCGGACCCTGGGTACATACTGTGACCAGGTCAGGCCAGATGGCTACAGGAGAGTGATAGAAGGCAGATATATTAGCCCCACATTAAGTAGGTCCCTTTTCCCTGGGTAAGGTAACAGGGAAGGTTCCAGAACAATCAGGAACTTTCTGGAAACAATTAAGGCAGACAGGCTGATTAGGACACCTGCAGCCAATTAAGAAGAAGCTGCTAGAATCAATTAAGGCAGGCTAATCAGGGCACCTGGATTTTAAAAGGAGCTCACTTCAGTTTGTGGTGTGAGTGTGAGGAGCTGGGAGCAAGAGGCACAAGGAGCTGAGAGTGAGAGGGCGTGCTGCTGGAGGACTGAGGAATACAAGCGTTATCAGACACCAGGAGGAAGATCCTGTGGTGAGAATAAGGAAGGTGTTTGGAGGAGGCCATGGGGAAGTAGCCCAGGGAGTTGTAGCTGTCATGCAGCTGTTACAGGAGGCACTATAGACGGCTTTAATCCACAGGGCCCTGGGCTGGAACCTGGAGTAGAGGGTGGGCCCGGGTTCCCCCCAAACCTCCCAACTCCTGATCAGACACAGGAGGAGTTGACCCGGACTGTGGGTTCCACCAGAGGGGAAGATCTCCGAGGTGAGCAAATCTGCCAATAAGCGCAGGACCCACCAAGGTAGAGGAGGAACTTTGTCACAATACCCATCTTGCTAGCCCGCTCCAAGCCCACCTTGTGCTGTTTCTGCCATTGTTACTCACTAGCCCACGACGGTTTGTTTACCTGCAGCGTCTGCAGGTTCGGCCGATCGCGGCTCCCACTGGCCGCGGTTTGTTGTTCCAGGCCAATGGGGGCTGCAGGAAGCAGTGTGGGCTGAGGGATATGCTGGCCGCTGCTTCCCGCAGCCCCCTTTGGCCTGGAACAATGAACCTCAGCCAGTGGGAGCTGTGATCAGCTGAACCTGCAGGTGCTGCAGGTAAACAAACCATCCCGGCCTGCCAACGGATTTCCCTGATAGGCTGCGTGCCAAAGGTTGCCGATCCCTGCACTAGCTTATCAAGCTAATGCCCATGAACAGCTTTAGCTGTGTACCATACCCCAAGAGAGATCAACGTCTTAGTTACAAATAGCACCTGAATAACAAGCCATTTCCCTTTATTTTCTACTGGTCTTAGGTTGTTGTAAAAGCCAAATGTGACCTGACAGCATCTCTTAAATATTGCTGGTTTTTCCATGTATTGCTGGAGATGTCATAAAATGTGTGAATCAGGATGGACTGTGTGAGCCTCTCTAATCCCTTTGAAGATGTTGATTCATTGCAGCCGTTGGTTTTTCCTGTTTAGCCCTCCTGTTGCTGTGGTTACTGGCCCCACCGTGCCGCCTAAATGATAACGAACGAAGGGTGTGTTCCTTTGTTATGACAGTGCACCGGGATCATGCAATTTATGTCCCCCACGATGTCCGGGTCCAGGACCGGGAAAGAGGCCTTGTTAATAGTCTGTCATCCGCCAGTTTTTTGGTCTGTTGCATATAAAACACTCCGGCCAAACAAAGCATGAGCAAATTCTCCCTTGATATGGACATTTCATAAAGCCAGCACATTTTATACTGCATCCCTAATGCAGTGTGTCAGGAAACATTCCAGAGATCCAAATTACACGCTTAATAACCAACATAAAAATGCAGGCTGGGATATTGTTAGATCTCTCAAGCTGAGTAGGGACAGGCCAGATCAACACTTAGATGGGAGACCTCCAATAAGGCGATGCAGGAAGCTGTGTTTTTAGGAGCTGGTGCTCGTCTCACTGAGCCAACTCTCAACTAGCGCAGCGTGGTCTGGACTGTGCCACTGGAGGGGCTGTCTTTTTAGAGAAGTAAAACTGAAGCTGTCAGAATCTCAGATGTACACGCTATATGTGAAGGCTAGGACTCTAACAGGGTTTAAAAGAGAACTGGATAAATTCATGGAGGTTAAGTCCATTAATGGCTATTAGCCAGGATGGGTAAGGAATGGTGTCCCTAGCCTCTGTTTGTCAGAGGGTGGAGATGGGTGGCAGGAGACAGATCACTTGATCGTTACCTTTTAGGTTCACTCCCTCTGGGGCACCTGGCATTGGCCACTGTCGGTATACGGGATACTGGGCTGGATGGACCTTTGGTCTGACCCAGTATGCCCGTTCCTATGTTCTTATCCAGGAATCGATAGGGCCCTGGGGCCTGGCCATATTTCCATAGGGGTAAGCTACATCATCTGCTTAAACTCCCATGCAGTTTCAACTGATTGAAATATTCGCCTTCTCTTCTATCCTTAACTGTTTCTGGGTGCTGTTAAAAAGTTGTAGCCTCCCCCAGAGGTGGCTGCACTTTAGCGGTTAATTCAGTAACTCAACATACGCGATTTTGGCTGGTGCAGAAGACAACAATGGCAGGCCAATGAGATTTGGTGTCTGCTAATCAGAAGAAAGCAGGCTCATCTGTCATTTTTCTGTACTTTGTTGAATTAGTGGTGATGGAGTCCAACGTTTTTCTTGTACTACCCTGAATAAACATTGGTTAACTTTGATTTTCTGTTTTAAAGAATAATATATGTTTATATTGCAATAGCACCTAGAGGCCTTAACCCCAATGTGCTAGGCACTGTACAAACACAATGAAGAACATTTCTTTGCTTCAAAGAGTCTATAGTCTAAAGATGAGGTCTTTACAGTGGGTTGGGGAAATGACCAAGCAAACCAAGGTGGGGGGAGGACAGGGTACAATAAAAAAATATAGTTTAACATAAGTGGGCATAATTCATAGCAGAAACCACTTAGCCAGCCAGCTGGTGAGCAGACAGATCCGACTTCTGCTGTTCAGCTGATCAGATGTCACTTAATTTTGAACACTCATCTATTCAAGCTGCAAACAGCATGGGATGCCCTGCCCACACCTACCCCTTGGGGTAACTAAATGCCTAGCTCTGTAATGAGAGAGTTTGGTTGAGGGTTTGAGTTTAGATTTTGCTGAGTCTATCACTTGATTGAGGAGGAATAGGCATCGTGGCCAACTCCTGTATCAAACTTCGGGTAGCTTTGTTGTTTGCTCACTGACATATCTTTATCCTTCAGAGCAGTGCTGTTCTGGGAGATGTTACCTATGGTATGTCCCGTTAAAAGGCACTAAGAGGTATGAGATCTCCAGCCAAACAGACGCTCTAACCACTGAGCGATGAGTCTCTGTCAAGAGTTGAATTGTTCTTGTTCTTCCTTTAGGCGTTGCTCTGTCCTGACTTGGATTTTGATCAGTCTGAAAGTGATGAAGACCTCTCAGGACTCCAAGGACCCAGCCAGAAAATGAGACAGCCAGGCTATCAGGTGGTACTTTAATAGCGACTTCAAACTGAGCCAAGTGGAGAGAGTACCAACCAAGAAAACAGCAATAGAGACTTTTGTAGAAAACTGGACTTTGATCTGATGTTAGAAGCTGGGGGGGGGGGGTGCTAGTTTATTGCACAGTTAAATGGAGATCACATGCTGGGACTAGGCAGATCTATCCTTTGCAGTTATTTTCCTGATGGCGTTTCTGTACCTTCTGCATTCTTGTTGCCCAGTGTGGTGGCTGGCTCTACGTACACCGTTAACTCCTGCTGTACCTGTATTTGTCTCTAAACTGGACACTCCTAATCATATCATGGTTAGGACTGTGGAGTTATATTTCTGTGGCTGGCCAGCTGGCTGTAGAGTTTGTCAGGATGGTAGCATAAGTCAAAATACTAGATCTTTTAATAGGATTTATGATTTATCTTGTACTAACTGTACTGTGACACTTTCTCTATGCACAGCTTGCTCGTAAATAACTCACTTGTAAAAAGTATTTAAAAATGTCTTTGGGGTTGGACTGATCATTCCACTGAATCTGACTTTTTTTTACTGTTTTATAGGGATTGTAATAAAAGTTTGACTTAAAGTTGCTTCATTTTTGGAATGCATTCCCGCGCCTAATGTTTTGCAAAGAGAGGATGTTACAAATGAGATGGCTCCATTCTAAATTCTCACTTGCAGGGACTTGCTGCTTGCTTTGCATTGCCATATCCGAACTGGAACTGTCCTGCCTTGGCCCAGAAGTTAATCTGGTTAAAAATCTATGCAGTCACTTGGGTTAATGACGTGGGGAAAAGCTGTTTTTCTAAAGCCAAAATTTTCAAAAATCGATGTCTAAAGTGATCTCTAAAATAAAGCCTTATTTAAACAGGAAAGTTCATCTGTGCAGGAGACGGACCGACCCCTGGGAAAGCTAACACCTGTAGAACAAACTCTCTCAGGAAGGACCTACGCACTGGCCCAAACCTTGCCACCTTCTGCTTCAAATGCAAGGGACCCTTCAGCCTACCATAAACACAGATCAGCATGTGCACCCTACCAAAACATTCTATTGCATGCACAATTCTCCCCCATGGGAGAGGGAAGAGAGAATGAACCGCACATGACCGATATTAATCAACTTGCTTAATGCATAACTGGAAGGCATTCAGATTCTACAGTAATCCAAGCATCCTAGAAGTGTAGGACTGGAAGGGACCTTGAGAGGTCATCTAGTCCAGTCCCCTGCACTCAAGGCAGGACCACGTAAGAATGTGTGGTATAAGAATGGAAATATTGATGCTGCTTAAAAGAATTTGTGATCCAAAACCCATTCTCTTCAAGGGAGAGAGGGCTTCAAATCACACCGAACACACATTGGATGACACGCTTCTCAAAATGCACCCACTGGCAGAGCTTAGTGCCTTCACTGGGAACTCTCTAGCTCTCGGCCCTTTGGCTTATAGGTCAATTAGGGATTGTCTAAATGAGTACTTGATTCAGGGCAAGCTGGGTGGAGCCTGTGGTCATGTACTAACCGTTCCTTGGTGCATGTTAATCTATCTCATTTCAAAGCAGAGTAGATTAAAGGGCACTTGGGAACTATGGTGTGGCAGCAGGGTCCAAATGAGAACTTCGTGCATGGCAGACTAGCGGTAGATTTACACCCCAGCTTGTGGCAAACTCAGCCTTCGTTTATGCAAGCCCTTCTGTAGAAGCATAAAAAAGGATTTTGGAGCCTTTCTTAAAAACGTTTTGCCCCAAGAGCGTGTGAAGAATTTTTAAACTCAGCTGCTAGATACAAATCCTAAGGGTCACGTCGCCTTCACTGAACAAGCCGTGCTTGGCTAAATTTGAAACAAGGGGTTACGAATGGAGCTGTGCACAGTATTCCAAATGTCTTGAAATAGGAGGCTTTTTGAATTTCCTATTAACATGATTCAAATGACCCATTTTTTCCCCCTATCCAACTGTACTGCTCTTGGAACAAACCCTCAAGCATTGGCCATTCTAAAGGGCTTGGCCGGACGGGTATTTGCGAGGGTGAGTAAAATCAAAGTTTCACACTTGCAGTTGGGTGGCTAAGTTGGCCAAAAGGCCAAATTTCTGGGCTGCAGAAGGGCCTGGACCAAGACTTTTTACAAACGTTTCATGTCACTCATTAAATAAGAATGGGTGAAAACGGCCCAGTGTAGAAAAGGCCAAGTATCCCTGCGCGCTCCCCCTCCCCATGTTCTCTTAGCGTCCACACTGCATGCGGATAAGATACCTGCCCATGTCTTCAGCCATGGGACTTCCCAGGATGTGCAGTGTCACAGGTGAAAGACCTCACCCACCCATCAGCTGCAGATGTCACTCTGGGGTAACTAGGATACAGGTGCCTCCCTTTTGCTCCCTGCCCCCACCAAGTGGCCTTGGGGGAGCCAGAGGCTCTAGCCACAGGAGCAGAAGCAGGGACCCCTGGATGTTCCCACCAGAACTGCAGAACGTCCTGACTTTCTGTGCCCTGGGTTGATTGGCTGTTTGCTACAAGCTTCCCCCTCCCTCAGTGTCCCTTCACCTTAGCTTCTCTCCACACCTGCCCCCTTCCCTTTCCTTAAGCTGAGTCTTGCCTAAGTAACAGTCGTCCCCCTACCCCCAACACAGTGGCACTAACATGCCATATGCTGCCATCCTTGTTTCTCCCACTCTGTCTCTCTTGTTTTGTTTCCTTGCACTTAGCTGTCTTTTTGTGCTCTGATTGTACAGCGCCTAGCACAATGGGGGCCTGGTCCGTAAGGCAGGCTCATAGGCCCTATAGGATGGCTTGTGCTGTAGGCAACTGGAGTACGATGGGTAGGTGTTCATTCTACAACTGCTCTCCCCACCCTCTTGTTGGCATCTTAGAGACACCAAATAGGGACTGGAAAAGGAGCTGAGCTACCCTCAGCCCTACCAGTGCTTCCTCTCGTTCACAGCTGGCGCCACATGGGGATTCTTGCAACACTTCTTGCCCTGTGCTAATCATTCTGCGGGGGGTGGCTTCATTCTCCAAGGAAGTCATAAAGTTTAAGGCTAGCAGGGCCTACCAGGCCATCCCATCTGACCTGCATATCACAGGCCACCACCCCCACCCAGCCCCTGCACCCCAAGGCCAATAACCCTACTTAGACCAACTATCACACGGTACCAGACTGTTCTGTGCCACAGGCCGAGAATAGGAGCGACCGAGGTGCACCAGTGCCCGAGGTCCCCCGCAGTGGCAGGGAAATAGTAAGTGAGAGAGACCCAGACACCGTGGTGCCTTTCAGAAGCTCTCGATTCAGAGGAGAATCTAGGATTTGCAATTGGTGCTATTCTAGGGTCCCATCCTGCTCCCCTCAAATCTATGCTACTTAAATTACTGTCAGCTCTGAGCATCTCAATCATTGTATAGAAAACAATTTTGAAAAAAATCCACCTCACTGCACCTGCTCCTCTCCCTGGGCGGCTGTGATAGCTGTTAGTCACGTCACCTGTGGCGCTACTGTAAAGCACTGAGAGAATATGGTGATGAGTGTGGTAGAAGAACCTGTATAGACTAGAACACCTCTGGGAAGCAGGGAAGAACCATTAGTCTCATCTTGCAGATAGCGTCTCTGTGTCTCGGCTTCCCAAGGGCGCTGAGGAAGTCTGGCGGAGCTGGGACTTGAAGAGGTCTCCCACGTCTTTGGCTAGTTCCCTAACCACTGGACCAACCTTCCACCACTCAATGGCAAAACTTTGACATCTATTGTTTGTGGCAAGACTCTGACATCTATTGTTCGTAGCTCTTGCTCTAAGCCAGAGGCTGCTGCTGATTTTTAAGCATCTCCATTGAAGTCACAAAGGCCATTATAATCAACCACCTGATAGGGGGAGGGATAGCTCAGTGGTTTGAGCATTGGCCTGCTAAACTCAGGGTTGTGAGTTCAATCCTTGAGGGGGCACTTTGGGGATTTAGTTGGGGTTGGTCCTCCTTTGAGCAGGGGCTTGGACTAGATGACCTCCAGAGGTCTCTTCCAACCCTGATATTCTATGAACAATATTTGGTGCAGCTGCTTCTTCCCCTGTCTAGCAACATAAAACACATGCACAACCTTAGTCTCATAACAGGTTCAACCAAGTGTCTTCTGCTTCACACTAAATAAAAACATCATCTCCATGGTCACTCTAAAGTATATTTATTGTGAAAAGTGATAACTGGATCCGCACTGACCGAATCTCAACTGTGCTGTTGCAGGTGCTCCCTATACCTACGGGGTTAGATTTCATCCTTTTGGGGTCAACTGATATAGCATGTCCATAATGGGGTGGGGGAGATGTTTGGTGCACTCGAAGCTTTAGCAATACATATTTATGTACAGAAAGGGGGCAGAAGGGTGTGTACGATGGAATAGAACCCTACAGCTGCCCTAAGTAAGCTGCCCTCGAAGGGAACGTGTGTTTGAACAGGTCAGCACCATGTAGAAAACTCAAACCCTGCCTCTAAAGAGCTGAAATATGGGTGGGGGGAGGTGGAAAGTGCGAACCCAGGGAAATCCCGTGGCAATAACCACAGTCCAAAGGTGTCTGATGAGTTCAGGAATGTTTCTTACATGACCAACATCCCGGTCGCTTGCTGCAATTAAAACAGTCAAGTCAGTGCAGGAGTCAGTCGACCGTGGTTTGCCACCAGACGTTTTCCGGGTAAGCAGCCAGTTTAACTGGCACAATTTCCCACCCTCTGCAACATTCCCCTCCCCACAGCACTTCCTGATCATGGGTGCTACACTGGTGCTGGCTACGCTTTGCCTTGTTTAGCAATGGCCTGCTAGCCAACGCTGTGCTTACTGTTTAGGAGAAAGGCAGCACCCAGCACACTTCCTCAGTGTCTGCCAATTGCTCTTCTGAGAGGATTGTTTCCTGAGAGAGACGTGCCCAGTGCGGTAGCCTCAGAACATGTCTACACTAGGGCTTTATGGGACTCCCAGGTTACTATACTGGCAAAGTACTATGGTGTGGACACAGCTATACTGAGCACGGGCGTGTACTTGGCGTGGTTCACCCCCGTCCCTGGCGCCTGTCCCTTTTACGGCGTGAGGGAGACCCTGGTGCACGTAGACCTGGAGTGTTCCGGCTCCTCCTGACCATCCTTTTACCTTTCTGGCTGCACGTTTCCCCTCACCTTTTCAGATACTCACACCCCATCCGTGGCCCCACAGAATCGCGGGACCTCCTTCTGGCGATGGCCAAAGTAGCCATCTATAAGACCAGGGAGAGGAGGTTGGCTGAGGGGGTTTCCTGCAACTGTGGGGCCCATTTCCGATCCTGCCTTCGCTCACGTATCCCGGCAAAGTTCCTCTGGGCAGCGTCCGCTGGCTCCCTTGACGCCTTCGAGGAGCAGTGGGCGCTGTCCGGGGTCCTCTGCTCGGTGTCCCCTTCAAGTTCCCTTTGTTTGACCCTTTGACCTTCACACCTGCCCCTGTGACATTTTTGGTTGTCCCCTGTAATTATTTGAGTTCCTGGACCTTGTGGAGCCTCCCCTAAAGCTGGGGGAGGGTCCTTTAGCAATGGGTGGGCTTGTGCCCGCCCACTTCCCAGAACCCAATAGGACCAGTGTAGTAAAGCCACCCACCAGGAGTGAAACAAACTACCCTAGTAAACACACAGTTTTGCTGGTATAGCTCTGGCTATGCTATAGGCTTCTGTCGACGCAGTCACATCAGTCAGGGATCACCCCTCGTCACATCCCTGACTGACAGATCTATGCTGGCTGAAGTCTGTAGTGTAGCCATAGCCTCAGGCTCAAATTCCACTGCAAAGCACTCGCAGCATTTTGGCAGCAGCACTGCATTTGAGGTACCTTAGCGGGGCTTTACGTGGGAAGCTCTAATGGAATCGTTCCCTGCAACAAGCAAGAAAATTCACTAAAACATGAGATTGAACTGAGCAATGCTGCTAGCTCAATGCTTCTCCACAATACAGCGTTAGGGAGTGGTGGTTTCTACATGGACAAGGATGCTGTGGGTGAAAGATGTCCTAGACTCTAGATGTGATTATAATGTTTAAACATACAAATATCAGCTCTGAGTTAGTCTATTTCTCCTAGGCCAAAGCAGTTCTTCAGTACTCTCTTAACACCTGGATATCATTTGGCTGCTTAAGGTGCTTTCCCCCCTTTCCCGCTTCCCTTTGAGCCCCCAGGGAGATACGGTAAACTTTAGTTCAGCTCTGGCCTCCCAGGCACATATGTCTTCATGTCTGCTGACGTCCTCTCTAGCAGACTTTTCTAATAAAGGATCTCATTGGAGGCTGACACACAGCATTATTAAATGATGTCTCGCTTTAAAATAGATCAGTCTCTACATTTTGGGTTGGCAAAATCCTCTTGAGTGGCTTGCTCAGCTTTCACATACCTGCAGCGTGAGTATCTGTTTAACGGCCCATTTCACAACCTCGTGTTGCCAATCGCCTTCGTTGCACAGAAGCAAAGACGAGGAGTGTCAGATGATAAGCATTTGGGG